CATGATTCTGCATGTCATCATTCAATAAGAAAACTGGACTTAGAATTATATTCCTGCCTAAAGGAACTTAGATTGTTGTAGCCCAGAAAAATAAATTTCAAAATAAACAAAACAAAAAACCACACACAGAGAGCAAAAAAATCCCAAACTCACAACAACAAACTTTGCATGCTGATGGAAGAATTGTACAGCCATTAACTGAAGGATGTTTAAAGACAACATGGAAATTTACTTTTAAAAGGCACAAGGAAAAAATTAGTTAAATAAAAGATGGAGCATTTGAGAATGACTAAGTCCTGAGAAGGAAGACTGGGTCTTAAGAAAAAAATATTGGTAATGGCACAATCTAGAGTAGATCTCCAGGATTAAATCTTCAGTCCTTTGAGGAAAATACTGAAGATCCAAGTGAGCTTTGAGGCTGGATTTGACCAAGGGAGAATGGGGAGAGCAGAACACCAGAGGAAAGAAGGACTATTTGAGCCTGGCAGCTTAAGGAAGGCCCTAAATCATAAATCATTATGTCAGAAGCAGGAAAAGAAAAATCAATAGAGGAAGAAGGTTGGCAAGGGTCTTGGGTTTTGAAATCATCAGGAAACAAAGCAAAGACATAGGCTGTGAATAGTTTAATTAATAAAATAATATAATTAATTAATTCTAACTAGTAATAAGCCTGTGTGGGCTTAGGACCATTAAAGATCTTTATTCCTTTGTATAGCACAGTGGATTTAGGGTTGCAGTTTATAGCATTATAAATTGATAGCAGTCCATAAAAAGGCTATAAAAATTTATTTGCATTAACAGTAACATTTGAAAGGCCTTACAGCCTCTGAACTTGTGGTTGAACTGACTTATGTTTGTAGTGGGAATCAACAGCTAAGCCATTAGCAAGCATTCCTGTGTTTTAATTTTGGTTGTCTAAACAAACTGGCATGTATAAGCTCTAGCTGAAACCTGCAATGGGATTCACAAGATCCTCAGGTGAAGGTAAATGTTGATGAAAAACAAACTTCTCATAGAAAAGATTATTCTGGTAGGTGAGAGTATTTGTAAGATGCAAGACGAATTTAGTAACCTAGATTCATGCCTCCTTATTTAATGTGCCTTGTAAGGTTTTCTAAGCATTATAGCTCTGGCTGTTTTATACAGCTGGTTCACTGAGAAGAATCAGAGAAGTAGCAAACTAAAAATTCAAAACTGATTGTAAGTCTAACACAATATTTATTCAACTAAAAAGCCCTTTTGCAGACTCACCTTTAGATAAAAATGATGTTTCTGCAAAATAGCTTCAAAGACTGCATGTTGTTGCTGCAGTTACAGGAAAGAGAAGGATGCTGGTCCATGTGGTCAGAAGCTCCAGGAGCAGAGGAAGGGAAACAATGGCTGGGCAAGAGCACTCTGCTCTTGGACTGTCCTTTGTTATGTCTCAAAATCTCATGAACGCACATTCCCACTGCTCCAGATTTCCAATACAAAGAAAGGACAGCACTGACTTCAGATCAAGAGAAATAATGCACATCATTAAGAAGAAAAATAAGGGAATAAAGGGCCGTAGGACTCAGACACTCAGACTAACAGAATTCAACAAGAAGCTCACTGCAAACTACGAGTGTGCAGTTGCACCAATTAAGCTATAGAAGCAATCATAGTAAAATTTCACAATTGAAAACCTACTTTTGTGATAATTAGTGCATAGCTCCACTAATTTGAAATGCATCTTGGGCCAAAATTATCCTGATGAGTATTCCTGTGTACACTCTGTCAGAAAAGATTGTCATATAGGGATTTGTATTTCAGCTTTGTGCCTCACCAAAGGTGTTCAATATGTTAAGCTGAACAGAAAATACTCTGATCTGGTTTATAAAGGTTTTGGACGAAAATTGCTGAAAACACCCAAGATTTTTCCAGTCTGGTATTAAGCCTAACCAAGCCTTCTATGTCAGCATGTTTGCTAGAAGCTTCCCAGATAAGGTATGGAAAATAGCAAAGAACTCCAGAGGTGCTTGTGTCTATGCTGGGTGAGAAGTGGGCATCCATTGCAACAGCAACCCATGGTCAAATGGGATTAAGAAAAGGCCTTTGGCCAGCAGAGTTTTTGTTATGGCTCTGTTGTGGCTTACCAATTACTTCAGGGAGGAGTGTGCTAACAAAAGAATTGTGTTCATCACTTCAGGTTCCTCAAGATGACTGGACTGGCTACACTCCGCGAGGAAAAGATGACGAGATTCCCTGCCGCCGGATGCGCAGTGGCAGTTACATCAAAGCCATGGGGGACGATGACAGCGGAGACTCAGACACAAGTCCAAAGCCATCTCCAAAGGTTGCTGCACGAAGAGAGAGTTATCTCAAGGCCACCCAGCCATCCCTTACTGAGCTCACCACCCTCAAGTAAGTCCAGGTTCTGCTGTATCACCTACAGCTCTCCATAAAGACATAAATTTTCTATGTTTGCTTCTTCTCTTTACATTTTCTATGTTTTCTATGTTTGTTTATTCTCTTACTTCTAGCTACCAGTTCAGGTACTTACTTGAACAAGTGTGTCTCATCATGCTTATTTTTGCAAGGCTTTTTTTCTTAACAAGAGTAAATCTGGGAGTGTATTTCAATGTTATTCTGAAAAGGAACCTGCACTATGAATTTGAAAAATATTTTAACCTGTTAGTGTTAAGTGAGCATCCAGGTATGCACAGTAGGTGTGCTCTTTGAATACTTTGCTAAAATTCAGCTTTGGCCTGCAAAAGCTTTGTGTAAATGTATATTTATATAAACTCAACATTTGAAATTCGCCCTAAGATAGTCTTTGCAACTCCAGGAGAGAACCTAACATTCAATTAAAAATAAGAAAGGCCATCTGAAAGTAGACAAACACAGATTTTCCACTCAGAATTGTACTGTAATTTGTGGAGAACCAAAATTGGATTTTTTTCAATTGTTTATAAAAGCTTTAGCCAAAAGGAATCATGAGTTTGTGGTTTTTTAAATGCCACTATTTGTTTTTCCTTTATTTGGGCCTTTTAAAAAAGCCACCCAAATTGTCAGGAAAAAAAGCACAAATGGACAATTTTGTATTAACATATTATTTTAATTGATTCTAAAATTGAAAGGTCCCTTAAAGCAAGAAAATAAATTATATCCATAAAAGAAAATAGTGTGGATTTAAAATCAACAGTTGTTTCTGTCTTTTTTAAAATTCTTAGCTATAATAATGAATCATAGTTCACTGGGCTAAAAATAACCCAATTTTAGTATAACTTGCCTAAGGCTGTAGCTTTAAAATGGGAGGAAAAAATAGAAAGGATCTCTATCTCTTCTAGTATCCATGATCAGTGACAAAAGACTCCTTCTGCATTTCCCTGATTAATTTCTTCTCCTTCCTTGTCCTCCACTACCCCATTTTTTCCAAAGACCTTATCTGAGAAACAGATTTTAGAGAAAACTGTTTGATCCTTGTTAAGAATGTCATGCTCTTGACATGAGTGATGAATAGGCCAGCAGAAAAAAGCAAGCTTACTGCAGCTCCCTGTAGCAGCCTGCCTGAATTTGTCTCAAGGGAAGCCTGAGATTGCTTCTTCTCTGTCTTTCTATTAGTGACCAAAGGAGAAAGCAATCTCATTTTCTGCAGGGATTTTCATAATCTAGCTGGCTTTTTTGCTCAAGGGATCAAGTGTTTCCTTTCATCATCCAGAAGACTTTACCACATCCTTTCCTGAGGCAAAACTCCTCCTCTGAAATCAGTTATTGCAACCTCTGCAAGGTGAACATGAGTGTTATTTACCACCACAAACTCCATCCAGCCATGCTTCATGCATGGACACGCTTTCAGGCACAGAGCTTATTCTTTCTGAGTTTTCAGAAGCATGCTTTCCAGAGTTCCATAGTTTATGTGAAGCACAATGAATCACAATGAGTGTATTTGCTCTTGGTCATTTCTGTTCTCCATAGAGACAAGATTTGCAGAAAAATATATATTTATGAAAAATCAAAAGTCCTGCATTGCCACTGTTCACCCATGGAGGATGTCACACCAGGCAGCAGAAGCTTTTAGCTTTCAAGTAATTTTAATTCAGCAAAGTTCTTGTATAAATACTTAATTTCCCATGTTTTTTAATCCCTTCCTATTTGGGAAAGCTTTTAGGAATGTGCCGAATTTTAAGCTGCACTCTGTAAAATTCAAGTAAGTTTAGGAGGTGTGCAGAAGTAGAATGTAAATCATAGGGTAGAAGAGGGAAGATGGTAAATGGTAGCAAAATGAAAAAGAGGAGAAAGCATGAAATAATTTTTCTTTTTCAATGGCTTTTCAGCATAAACTGGGATGAAAGAGAATTATTTCTGTTAATCTATGCTGATAGTTTAAAGGAATATATCTTCCTAAGAAACCTTTCACTTTCAGAGACAATTTGTATAATGCATAATTATGCAGTGCTTTCATTACTTTCTGCTGAACATGGTAATTTCTGGGGGTTTTAAGAGAAACAGCTGAGTGCTTGTTCTGGGAATTGAAGTCTTCTATTAAGCTAGGTCTTTGTTTGCAGACTTCTTCATACTTTCTTAATAATGTGACTTGACCTTCATAATGACATTCATTTTTCATCCCATGGCTACCCTGATTACTCCAAGAGTTCTGTCAGAGTTTTGCAGGTGTGTTATACAGAGACTAAACTGGAGCCCCTAACTCACTGACTATAGGTCATCAAGCAAATGTGTGATGTCTGATAACAAGTTATTTCCTTGGCTTGCTGTTGACTTGGGTTCAATTTGCACCTGAATAAGAGCTTTGTGGAAATGAACCAAAGCCTGCTCTAGGCAACAGGCAGCCTTTTACTGTCACTAGTGGACCTTCTAGCTGACCTCGAAGGGTATTATTAACACCCTAAAGCTGAGTGGTATTTCACTCCTTTAATTATGGGTTTTTTTCTGTCCATGAAGAACAAAGCCTGCTGTGAAATCAGTATTTCTACAGCAGTAATTGTCAGGGATCTTCCTGATGCATTTCTTTCTGCTACTCCCTTTCTCAATTTGCTGTATACAGTCTCTAGTTGGCTGCACTTTCATCTCTGGCAGAGCAAACAACTTAAAAACATGTTCCCTTTTGCTTTCACTGTTGTTTTTGAAGTGATATTTTCATCTTTTGGGACTTTTCCTCTCTGACTCCTTTAAGTCTAATATTGGTCTCACAACCCACACTGTTCCTCCCACCTACCTACCTACCATTGCTCATGCACCTACTCTTCTAAGAAAGTATTTTCATTATTACCAGTGTTTCTTTTTATATAAGGAATAACCTTTGAACAGCACAACTGTGTCATATCTCCTTTACATAATACAAATTTATTTTCCTGGCTTTGCTGAGGATTTTTCCCTGCCATACTGTACAATCTCCCTCCTACTATTTTCCTCCATTGCCATGGTTTCCATGTGGTTACAGCACATGTGTCAAATGGTGTGGTACCATTCTGGATAAAGCACAGCTTGCTGTGATTTTGAAATACACACCTCCGCTGCTGCATTCTCATTATCCTATCAGGAAATAAGCAGGGTTTTTTTTCTCTGTCTTTGCTGGCAGTATGATCTTGGTGTTTAAGCTTTCACAGTCTAGATGAACCGATTCAGCTGGAAAAAAAAGTGGCATTTTCTTGCCATTCCTAATAAGTGGCAAAAGTTTATCTTTCACTTGTAGGCAGATTGAAAATGGACTGGTTAGCAAACTTCCAAAGAAGGTGCAAGTAGCAGATAACTGACAATTCTGTTACAGCTGAACTCGATTCAGGATATAATCCCTCACTATTTATATCTACCTTGATTATGTTTTGCATGGTTTTTACTGAGATAAAAAGTATGCAATTACATTGCTGTCCACATGCCAACCTGTCACCTCCAGCTGCGAGTAACTCTTAAATCCATTGGCCAAATATAACCAAGTTTGCTAGAAAGACTGAAATCTGAAAGATATGAAGTTCCAGAAAGCTTTATCCAGATCTGTAGCTGGATAAGGCAAAGAAGGATCTGCAGCCATCCCTTTTGTTCTTCTGAAGGACTATGGGCAAAGTAGCTGGTGGGTCAGCACAAGGAATAACATGGCAGCATTTCCCAAACTAAAAAGATAAGGAATATGGAAGGGACTGGAACACTCTGTTAAGGACAAGAGGGCTGAGAAATGGATCCTGTCACCACAGGTTTTCTACTTAATTTTCCCCCTTTCCTCTTCTCCACTGAAGCTATACTCACTGCTTAAAACACAGATTTCAAATTATGCTTAACTCATTATTGCTGCTATTGTGGGGACTTCATCCATTTGAATCTTTTCTTTGAGGGTTTTGTTTATTTGTTTGTTTGGAGGGAGTTTTTGTAACCTATTACAAAACTTAATGGTAATTTATTTGTAGACGTGGATTTTGGGTTAAATACAGTTGCAGGATTTCTCTTTTGAACTCATATTTGATCACATAAAATTTTTTCTGAGACAAGTTGTACTCTGTGATCGCTACTGAATTGAAAATTTTAATGATCTTGATAATTTGTAGATGCATTTGTAGAACTTACATAAAAAGGATAGAAGGAAGAACAGAAATAAGGGATTTTTCTTAGCAAATCTTTATTTTCAAGGTATTTTACTAGGCCTATGATGTTTTTCAAGTCAGCTGTGATTAAGAGAAACTTATAAACACCAAAAACCCTTTATAATGCACACCAAGTTTTACCACTGATGATGAAGAGAGTATGTGAGCATATAGTCATTAGACTTTTCTCCTTTTCATCCCATGGTAAAGAATTTTTCTATATAAATTCCATCACACTTGCATCTGTTCCTATAATTTACTGCATAGATGACTTAAAATAAACCAAACAATTCTTATCTTTAAAGTTTATCAGAGACGTTAAAAAAAATCTCAAAATAGTGTCATGCTATTTGTTTACACCCACATTTATATTTTTATGTGTTAATACAAATAGTGCAAGTACTTTCTACTTGTATGTTTACGGGAATCTGGAAACAAAATTATTTTGAAAACCCAATCACAATAAATTATCAAGCTCAATTAAGTGGTATAATCTGTTGACAAGCTTAGTAGCAGTGACAAGAGCAAGGAGAAAGAGATAGATCTGATTTATACATCCTGAACTCAGACTTTCACATCACCTCCCTGAGAATTGATCAAGTCAGTTCCTGGAGGACAAACCCCCAAGCTGGAGTCAGCCGGTATTACAAACCAAATCTTGACAGAGTTGCAGCACCAACTCTGCTAGGATAACTTGGAAGGAAAATCAAACCACTCCACTGTTACTTAGTATAAGACATATTTCAAGATAGGAAATCTCCTGGTCTTCCTAGAAGTGATCCTTGGGAAGTGTCTGCACTGAGAGAAATTACAATGTTTGTATGGATAATT